CCCTACTGAAGATGTGCCCCAAAAGCTCTTGAGCCATGGCAAGAAACTCTTTAGTCAGCATGTGAGGAAACTTTGAGCTAGCATCACTCCCGCCACCATCTTGATCATCTTTACCAGGCATTACAGAGGCAAGAGAGTGGTCTTCCTGAAGCAGTTGGCCAGTGTCTTGCTACTTGTGACTGGGCCTCTTAGCCTTAATGGTGTTCCTCCACAAAAAACACACCAGAAATTTGTCATTGCCACCTCTACAAAAATTGATGTCAGCAAAATGAAAATCCCCAAATACCTCACTGATATTTACTTCAAGAAGAAGCTGTGGAAACCCAGATACCAAGAGGGTGAGATCTTCAACACTGAGAAGAGATATCAGATTTCAGAGCAGTACAAGGTGGATCAGAAAGTGGTAAACTCACAGATTTTAGGAAAAATCAAAGCTGTTCCTCAGTTCCGGGGCTATCTGCAATCCATTTTTGCTCTGACAAATGGAATTTATTTGGAATGGAATTTATCATAAATTAGTGTCCTAAATTTCTTACTAAGAACCTAATTAAATAACTGATACATTTTAAAACAATAAATGCTATTGTAAGAATTGTTTATCTAATTTCTGTTTGGATTACTCATTGTTAGTCTTAAATCCCTTATGATGAGGGGAATAACAGAAAGCCTTGGAGCTGGGCTCTGGGCGGATGGAGGGGCTCTCTGTGCCTTACTATCTGCTCTCCCAGGACACTGGACTCTAGAGAAGCAGATGTTAGTGTGGGGAGCCTGTCCCTGACTCACTACTCCAAGCCTATTGAGAAACTCTTGAGAAGGTATAAGCAGGGCCTAAGGAGCCAGAAAGGATCTTATGCTTAGAAAGTAGGCTCAAGTCCAGGGTTTTGCTCCTTCTCTCTTCTCCATACTCAGCCCCAAGCTGCCCCATAATAGCAATGGTAGAGCCACAGGATCTAAGACAGGGAGGGAGATCTCTCCTCTCCACTGGTACAGCCAAGGAGAAAGATGAGCCTCTGCTACTCCCCCCCCGCCCCCGCCTTTCTGTCATTTGATTCAGAGATAGGCACATGTGGAAAGTGAGGGCCAGAGCATCTGACTGTCAAAGTGAAAGAGGAGGCCAAGAGCTCCTGTGCAAGGCTCGCATAGATCCACAAAGGTGAGCCCATGTGAGTTCAAAGGGCTCCTGGGCTCTCCCCAAGCTTCACCTACATGAATCTGACCAAGAAAGACCCCAAAGAGTAAATGTGCTAGTATGTTGGGGCAGGTGATGTTCAGGTCCTAGGCTAGGCAAGTTGCAAAGTGACATATACAGGAAGGGCTGAACAGGGATGCAAAGGCTTGAGGCAGAGCTCACAGGGAAACCACACACAGCTGTCAAGAATTCTGAGCCTGAGGCCAGCCCTGCTGACTGCCTCCTAAAACTAAAGCATAGATACTGTCCACAGGATTTAAAAGAGCATTGGAGCCACACCTCACCTAACTGACCTAGATCCCCTTTGAGGCCCAGGCACTAACTGGGCTCAGTAGCTATATGCCTATTACTCTGTGCCTGGTTGCCTCTGTTGGGTAGTCTGGCCATCTAGTCCTATAGTCTGAACCCCACAGCTGCAGAAGTCACAGGTGGACTCCAGCAACACAGAAGCCACAGCAGGAGAGGAGGGGTCCACCACTGCCACTGGTCCTGGAAGCTGCTCCTGCTCCACTCCAGGATTCACTTGGAGTAGCTCTGGAAAGGGTGGGAAGTTTACCAGCCTCCAGGTTTCTAGGTTTGCTGTCATGACTCCAGTGGTCAGCTTTGAAGGCCAGAATCAGACCTGATACTTTCCCAAGTCTGGTGGTCCAACCTGACTGGAACTTTTCTCACTATTAGTATGTGCCCCCTCCCCCAGCAGTCTGTGGGATGTCCTGAGTGTTCTGCTGGCGTGTAAGAAAAAATGTAACAAAACACTTCCTAAATTTGAAATTTAAAATTTGTTTCTGATTTTTACTGAAACATTATTAGAGCCTTAATTTCATTACATTGAAAGCTACATATGACAAGGACTCAGTCAGCCAACACCAGTTAAAATTGTGCAGTTCAACTTGGTTAACATTTCCATGCTAAGTTATTGCTTTTACATGCATTTTGTAGTTGCTAGTCATATGGCCTTTTGTCCTTGACCTACTGAAATGGCTCAAAATGAAAGGGACCAGGCTGTAGGCAAAGTGACTACTGTAGGCATATGTGGATGGAAGCATGGTGAGCTGGGAGCACCTGTTGGCAAGAATGGAGGGAAAATAAAACAGACAGCCCCCGATCTGAAGCCAATGGGGGACAGCATGGGAATAACCTGAAGAGCATCCAATAGCCAAACACTACTGTGGGCAGGATTGACCAGTGGCCTGCTGCTCATGACACATCAATATATGGAAAGAGGAAGAAGATACCTTCCCCATGGAGTCTAAGAATTACACACAACTACTGTAGCCCTCCTCAAGCCTGAACCCCAGAATGCTTTTCTGAGAGACAGAATGGGAAGAAGATAGCCAAAGGTGTGAAGAGGTGCACAGGGTCAGGACAAGGTCAGGCTGAAACCCCAAGAATAGCCCCTATGATATGTGATGCTGCCTTGTGGTCCACTCTTAACCTCCATCTCTCCTCCAAGGTGATTTACAGAGGTGCAGTTGGTATCGTCCAACTCCTCTAGATGACAGGCCACTTGGCCTACATCCTGAATGCTTTGACCACTCAGACCTGGGCCAGTACCAGCAGCTCCTCCTGTGTGTGACACAGGCTTATCAGTTTCTAGGTTCCAGATCCCAGCTGTCCTCCTCCCTCTGGTCTGCTCCTCCTCCTCATAAAGCAACCTGAGCCTCAGGAGTATGGCCCTGCTGAGTCTTTTATACATCTTCTATCACCAGCTTCCTGCTGCCTCCTACCACATGCAGAAAGTGGCGATGACTCTGCCTGCAGCAAATCTGCTTGTGGCTCCCACTTGTCTCTTCTCCACCAGTGGCCAAGTCCTCCATGCTAGTTCTTACTATCCCTACTGGCTTACTTTCTACCGGACTACTTTGTAACCATCACCATAGGGTCACCATACCACAGGCCAATGTCCAGTCCTTCCATGCACTGGCAGGAAGAACATAACTCTCACTGGCCTGGGGCTGGCCCCTGAGCTTAGTGACCCTGAGCCATGTGGATGCTGGGCCACTGTCATCTCATCACAACCAGACCATCAGATCTCAGCTGTAGAGTTGCACAGCAGCAGGACCAGACATCATAAGGTAATCCTGAAGCCCACTCCTTCCTCTACACTCAGTATGGTCCCACAGCCTGGTTCTGAGGACTAAGCTTATTAGGCTGGATTGGAACAGAAGGCCACTAGCTGGTGACTTGTCACTGTGCAACAGAAGCATCAACTTTGTGTATCTGTTTGCCCTAGATATTACACTGTTATAAGTATAGATTCCAGGGAGACAGAGAGGACAGAAAGAGGTCCATCCTGGTTCATTGCTACTGCTATAGCAAAATACTCTGGATGATACAAACTGTGAGCAGCATATATATTGCTCGTAGTTCTGCAGGTTTGAAATTCAAGGACAAGCTGCCAACAGGCTTTGAATCTAGAGAAACCTTGTCACTGCTTCCAGATAGGGCCTTAAATTTCATGTCCTCTGGAGGGCCAAATTCTGATTCTCATGCAGAGGAAGAGTTGGAAGGGCAGAGAGGCCCATGCTGGTTCCAATGAGTGCCTGTCTATGACATTCACCTGTCCAAGAGAGTGGGGTCCTGTTGGCCACGGCACTTTTTCAGGCCCTACTCTCAGTACTGCTGTAAATGGGGGCTAAATTTCAACATGCAACTTTTGAAGGAAATGTACACCTATACCTTAGCAATCATCAAGATATTGCTTGATAGAACAGTACAAAAATGCCTTGACATTTTTTCAATTATTGCAGACTAGTTATAATCTTATTCATAAAGTACAATACATAAAATAGTATATACAAAATGAAATACCATTCAATCACTATTAGGACCAAATATATTAATATAAGAAAATATTTGGCATATCATTAGAAATGTGAAAGGAAAAACATGGATGGGTCCTGTTTTTGCTAAAAAAAAAAAAAAAAAAAAAAAAAAAAGAGTTAATAACTGGACAACAGTTTGCACAGGCTGACTTCTTAGCATCACAGAGCAATGGTCTTTCTGGGAGACAATTAATTATGAGTTTTTTCCCCTGTATTGAACACATCATCTTATATCATTTTAATTTTTTCCTGTAATATACTGTCAGGCTGATTGTGGGCAGCAGAGCCTGCAGGGCTTCACTTTCTCTGTGCTTTGGTGGGTGTTGGAAAGTGAGAGCGGCTGATAGGGGCCACTGCAACCAGCTCCTTAGGCCCAATACAGCTGCCTTCCTGCACAGCCACAGCTCCTCCTCTCTTTACTCAGCCTCCATGCATTTGTGTGTATGGATCATCTTCCTGTAGAATGCTGAGAGAAAGGGGCTGTGTGAACACCAGGTAGAGTGGGAGGACCACTATCCTGCCCTTTTGCAGGTGGACCAGCATATGTACTCTCCCTCCTCTCAGCTCCATTGCTTGAGGCTTAGAGCCTGGGTCAGACCATAGCCTGCATCGGGACCGCTCTTAAGGATGCATCGCACTCATCGGATTTGGAGCTTATGCATAAGCTTGCTTCTCGGAAAGATTAGATCAAATTAGAAATGGGGAAGGACAGAACTTCTGGGCTGTGCTGTTCTGGGGTTCTTCCTCTTCAGCTCCATATGGACTTATGTACACGTCTCCAGCCAAGCCCTGACCTGCCCTGCAGTGGATGGGAAGGGACCAGCCTCTTACTATAGCCATCCAGGGCTGACGGTCCACAGCAGCAGCGACAGCTTATACGAAGAGTTGCGTGTGGATTAATGCTGGCCGACCCCCCCCCCCAACTCAGGCTTAACAGCGTGGCGTATGTCTTACAGGCACACCGGCTTGCTCAGCAGCCCAGTGGGGGAAGGAGCCATTGAAATGACAGCCCACAAGCACTGGGTGCCCCTCCAAGGGCACAAGGGGAGCTGGGCGAAAAGTAGGTCACATGTGCCTGGGCCATGTCACGCGGTTTCCCACCCCAGGCCAATGGGATGGGTGGCCTCCTTCGGTGGAGAACAAAACATCCCTCTAATTTTTCTCCTTTAGTGTTTCATCTTCTCTAAACAGGGAGCGTGGCCATCTGTCTGGTACCCACATCCAGCCGATTCTCCCAACCTCACAGGCTGCTTTGTTCTGAGGTAAGGGAACTCTGGGGCCCTGGTGAGGGGTCCATGGAGCAGGACAGGTGGCTGAGGCAGACTACAAGGAAGACAGATCAAGCCTGAGCTCAGAGCCCAAGCAGCATGGCAGGACAGGTAGGATTTACATATGTGTGGGCTTCAGGGAGGCTGAGACTGTGGGAGCAGCGCATATGGCTCTTGTTGGTGATGGGGAGCAGAATTGGTGTGAGTACGAGCAGTTCCTACACTTACAAGTACAATGCTCATGTTGGGTCCTCTGCTTTAATAAGTTGGTTCCTGTGAAGGATTGGTATCATCTTGGTCACTTTACTGTTAAAGTGGTACTACTTACAGAAAAACAGGGATGTGTGTCAAAGATACCAGACAGGGTCGGGGATATAATCCCACCTGTAGACTGTGGGTCACCCTCAGAAATGGGGCCCAGAGTGCTCCAGTTCAGCAAGCACCTGGTACTGCCTTTCTGGAGATGGTGACCTCAGGAGCAAACAGATAGAGCACTGTGAAACCTAGATATCAGCATAGGCTGGACACAGATCACTGGCATGCAGAGGACTCACACTTGAAATGAGGTGTTAGTGATGGGATGTAACTGAGTCTTTTATCTCCGGAGAGCCATTGAGTGTGATTCCGTTCTGACAAAACAGGTGAAATGCATAAATGTTTTCAAATGTTTGTAAATCTATAGTGAGTCTTGCAGCTTATAAATAGCAAAACTATATTTTTTGCCTGTCCTATAACTGAATTTGAGTGCTGCACTAGAATGTCCAGCAGCGAGTACAATGGAACCTGTCTGTGGCATCGATTGGAACCACACTCAGACAGATTCCATGCTCCTGTTTGTGTTGATAGAAGATGCTCTAGAAATAATTTTCCAGATCCAGAGACATAGTGGGACTTGATCTGAGTATGTTCCATCAAGGAACAGATTTTGCCTTTGGAGAAAAGATACTTCAAGTTTGTTTTAACCAATTATCCATGGTGAATGAGAAGGAGCATAGAAATGAATGTAAACATTTCTGATTATAAACAGTTCTGCATTTTAGTGGTGTGGGATAGCAGTTGTCCAGTGGTAACAAGAGCATAGCATGGGGAGTAGCACAGATGGCCAGTGTGCAGTACCCAGTTTGGAGAAGGGAACTTTTCTAATAGTCCATTAAAACAGGATAGAAATTTATTCTCTCTCTCTCTCTCTCTCTCTCTCTCTCTCTCTCTCTCTCTCTCTCTCTCT